TGATTCTAAACGTGAACTAGCCCAATACTTATTTGGATCAGGCCCACCTTGAGAATTGCAGCTTATCCGTATACTGTGGACCCCATCCAGGATTAACTGAACGTTAAACCACATAAAATAAATTAAAATAAAAAAAATGTAATTTTAGCGCCAAAAATAAAGAGAAAAATCTCAGCCAATAAGAAAACAATTTCTCAGCAGCATGTTCTCCACTGCCCTAACACTCCACCTCTTTCCCCTCCACAGAACCACCGAATTCTCCCCCCACCACCACCACCACCGGAGCAGCCGCTACAGGCGTCCACACGGAAAGCCTCTGAGGATTAATGTGGCGAAATTATCTTCGAGCGTGAAAGAAGAAATCGAGAAACCTCCACCGGTGTCATCGGAGGGTTCCGATGAGGGGAATGAGGTGTTGACGAGCTGGGAGAGCATAGGTCTGCCGCCGGTGACGGCGGCGAAGAGGGTGGTTCTAGTGAGGCACGGTCAGAGCACGTGGAATGCGGAGGGACGGATCCAAGGCAGCTCCAATTTCTCGGTGCTCACTCAGAAAGGGGAATCTCAGGCCGAGATCTCGCGTCAAATGCTTCTGGAAGATTCCTTCGATATCTGCTTCTCCAGGTCTGTTTACACTCAGTTTATTTAATTGATTTTTTGTTTAGTTTTCCGAAGAGACGATGCAGAAATTATTGAACTTAATTGTGGCAATTAGGGTTTATTTAGTTTGAAATCATAATGGATATGGAAATTTTGCTTTAATCGATGGTAAAACAAAAATTGAAATCAATTTAGCTGAATTTTTTATTTTCAATTTGAAGTACACAAATGTTTAATTTATGTGTGTTCATAAACGTTGTTTGTCCTGTTCTTGCAAATGTTGCAGCCCGTTGAATAGATCGAAGAGAACTGCAGAGGTTATATGGGGTTCTCGTGCAGAGGAGATCGTAACAGATTACAACTTGAGAGAAATTGATCTCTACTCATTCCAAGTTAGTATCGAATTATTGGTTTAAATTTCGCAAACCGGATTTTATTAACATGTGTATGTAAAATCCACTTTATTGCTCTTTAATTATATAGGGTTTCTCAAGAACGAAGG